AAAATATCGGTTGTATTGAATGTTTATGGGAACACCACAAATTATCAGCGATCAATAATTATCTTTCACGAGTACCTATGTGACGTTAGTATAATAAAAGTCGTGTATCACCTATATAACCTATAGCTTTATGTACTTTTGTACTTCTTTCATGACCAGAAAGTTAAACATTAAATGTTGCGTGGCAAACTTTATTAACTTATGAGGCACAGTTATATYGTCARACCCACCACCCACCCCACCCATCACAATAACATTAAAAAATTTTTTTAAGATAAAATATATTTATTCATTTAAATAATAATGCTTTTTTTAACACATCAGATGATCTTTGAGAACACCCACCACCCCTCCGTGTCTCAAATATAGTCCTTCGCCACGCCACTGAAACATTTTATTTAATATTGTCAACATCATGTTAATATTTATTAAATCATGATTTCATACAATTTTTCCAGGGGAAAGGGACAAATTCCCAGTCTTGTCCTCCCCTCAATGGACACCCATGCATTTATTAATCTCTATGCTCAGAACTATACATTATATATTTATATATGAATTAATAATGCATATGGATATTAATTAGGTAGTTAAATAGTGATTAAATTTTCATACTTTTACGTTATATTTTTTTGCCTTGATATAATAATTATGGGATTAAAATTGTCTATTTCAAAATTTTCAACCTTTTAATTGTATGCCATACCTCATAAATGCATATGTTGTATTCGTCTAAAGCCTAACAAACATATAATCTAACAAACTTCACGTTTAGAATAATTAATTTTACTTCACTATTTTTAATATTTGATTAATTTGATCTAGTATTAAATTTAAAGATAAAAATAACATCCAAGGCCCCGGGAAGGCTTGTTTTGGAACCCATTYAAAATTGTTAATCGTTTTCAAAATATTCTCTCTTTTGTGCTATGTAAGGTAATTAAAAATTTTCAACTTATTTCGGCTTTTTTCTCGACTCGAATATGATAAAAATTTTCATTGTAAGTGAAAAAAAATCGAATACAACATCCCTCAAAAGTTTTACTTTTACCGATAGCGAAAGCCAAAAGGTAGCGATGACGACAACGGAAACAATACCCGCAACCACTATAATGTACATTACATCAAACTATACAACGCAGTACATACACGTGCGGCAATAACACGTGTTGTTTATTACCTGCAGCAATACGATTGCGTGGTGAATTGCGATATTATGTGACTCTCAGACGTAGGTCTAGTACGCGTCACGTGGGCACGCGGCAAGGTACGTGACACGCCGGTAAACCGATTGCGGGGCGGCAGCCCACGTGTTGGTGCGTWCGAAATGTTTCCCGTCACACAGCACGCGGCGTGGAGTCGTGTGACTATGCGTCTATACATTTTTACATCAGTGACGTATAAGATATTAATTTATTATACAATAACATTTTTTTGCTTGGGACCGTGCCACATATGGCATGCCCGAAAAGCAAGTGTGGTAGGCCCGGTTCCTACCTTTTATTACTTTACCTTAAATGTAGCAGAAAAAAAATGTACACAGTAATTTAAATTCCATGCAATATATCCAAACAAAAACATCGATCTTATTCTAGAATTGTTTTATTGTTAAAGTAGAAAAAAAAAGAAAAAAATACACAATAAGTAATTTGGATAACAATTTTTACCAGACTGGACGGCTTGAGGGAAGGGAGAGTCGATTGACACTACTTCCAATATGAACTTAATTTAAATTTAATTTAATT